TTCGAATGTTCCGTCGATATATCCATTGATGTAAATGTCCGTTCCATAGATCCATAGATTTATATGTTTCAAATCTGAGGAAAATTTGAATGCTCCAGAAAAAAGTAGCATTCATATTTCTGTTTTCTATGTCCGTCACAGTGCGACATTCAAATGTTCCACGATTTCCAACATTTGTCTCTTCTAGCGGGATTTTTGCAATTTTGAAAACGGCATATGATTTGTAGCGATAAATTATGTTATCTCAATTAATTCTGAATCAATTAGATAAATGTTGGAGAAGTTAGATGTAAATCTTACTCTTGGAATTTCAAAGTATCTTTTTTTTATCGGGAATTATAATTTTTCAAAATAAGTCAGTAATTACGTTAGTCAGACCGCTCAAATTGTATCCATTGAAATATTAATGTAGATATGATCATGTCTATACTATCTTTATATTCAATTTACGGGTTTTAGAACATCTAGTATTGCTAAAGGGGTTCATCAGGAACCCAAGTGGTTTATTTCCGTAATTTTAAAAATGGTTCACGCACGAAAAAATCTCCAAAATCACTTGAGTCTCTTTTCCCCATACAAAATTCAACTGATTATGTGTTTTCAGTTGTATTGGTTGGAAACATAATCCATTGTGGGTTTTATGCATTTAACTTGATGATATATTAAAAGAATAACATAATAGAAAGTCCAGGTAAGTATTAAACCTGGTAGCAATGGATCAGAACCCGATTTAAGTATTATATCTTTCATTGGTTGTCATATTTGAATTTTTCTTTTTTCATACATCAGATTCTTTCGTGCAAACCATGGACCTAGAATTGAGAATCCGCAGAATTTGTGCGTCGAGAATAGGCATTTGAATAGATTTTCAGCAGAACTAATAGCCAATTTTATTCTGCAAATGTTTTTAATGCTGGTTTATTTTATACCATCGAGGTTATTTAAGTTGTACACAACAATATTCTATCAAATCTACTTACAATTCACCTTCTTTGGAAAATGAAGTATAGTGGGAGTTTTATACCGATACAGTATAGTTTTATTAATTGCCGCTGATGTATATTTGTCGATATTTTATATATAATGATAGTCTATAATAGCATTCATAGTATTCCACTATATTGTTTATCAATATTGTCGTGGTCTCCACTTTTTTCAAATAACAAAAATATGATGAAAGCTGTTACCAGTCACTTGATGTTGTTGCAAGATTTTGGAAAAAAGGTGAATTAATAAAGTTGCGAAAAACTTTTAGAAATAACCAAAAGTGAGAAATCTCAGTATTCTTTTTATATTGCTGAAAACCTCATTAGGTTTTTGAAAAGTGGCAACGTCATAAGGTTGCCCAAAGGTTGCCAAAACGTGGAAAATTAGAAACCTCGGTAATTTTAAGGAAATTTCCAAAAATGCGACGACAAAAAATTAATTTGCTTATATTTAAAACCAAAGTAATTTCATGAAGTTATCTATGTATTGCTAAATCTATTGATTTAAGCTTGATTTTCATCGCTTGAACAACATGATGTTATTTATTTCAGTGTTTAATACTGTCACACTCGGTCTTGAACGAATTTGCTAACAATTGATGGAGTTAATGGTCAAAACTTACTCTTCAAAAATCAAAGTATCTTTTTTTCTTCGGGAATTATAATTTTCCCAAATAACTCAAAAATTATGATATCCAGGCCGCTGAAACTGTGTTCATTAGAATATTAATATAAATAATATTCTTTTCATACCATTCTTATTTTATATTTCTAATTTATAGGGTATCTAGTGTTTCCAAAGGGGTTCATCAGCAACTCGATTGGTTTATTCCCGTGGTTTTAATTTTGGCCCAGACACGAAAAAATCTTAAAAATTGACGTGAATCTCCTTTCCCCATACAAAATTGTGGTAAATTTGTAATGTAGTGAGAATCGATCTTTGATATACAGAAAAAAATGGAAGATTTTAGACACTCTTGGATAGTTCCTTTTAAAATATAGATTTTCTATTCCATCTGAATACAATGTGAATGAATCATAATAGTCTATTTCATTGTAATGGAAATCGATCAAGATAGCCTATTTGTCAAGATTCTGAGTAAAAAGAGACAGAAGATGGATGATTACATTTATGGGTTTGATGGTTGCAACTTATATATTCAAATATTCCGTTGAATAGATCATATATTTTAAGTTTCTGATTTGGTGTATATTTGTATTTTCCAATGTTTGTGTCATGTATATCTGTATATTCAAATATTCTGTGCACTAATTCACTGATTTTCAATGTCGTAATTAGTGCGTATTTCTATATTCCAATGGTTGTGCTCTGTATTAAAATGTCCAAATATTCCAACCAATTCAGCATAGATTTGAATGTTCCAAATTTGTGGAATATTTGGATGCTTCAGAAAAAAGTAGCATTTACATCTCTGTTTTCTATGGTCGTCACAGTGCGACATGCAAATGTTCCACGATTTGCAACATTTTTCTCTTCTAGTACGATTTTTGCAATTTTGAAAATGACATGTGATTCCCAGTGATAAATTATGCTATATAAGTTCATTCTGAATCAATTGGATAAATATTGGTGTAGTTATCTATCAATCTTACTCTTGGAATTTGAAAGTATCTTTTTTTTATCGGAAATTATCATTTTATTAAATAAGTCAATAATTGCACCATCCAGACCGTTCAAATTACAGTCATTTGAATATTAATGTAAATAGTATTCCATTCATATGATTATTAGTTTATATTTCTTATTTTTAGGGTATCTAGTATTCCCAAAGGGGTTCATCAGGGACTCGATTGACTTATTCCCGTGAAATTCAAATCGGTTCACACACGAAGAAATCTTCAAAAATGATTTGAATCTCTTTTCCCCATACAAAATGTAATAAATGGAATGTTTTCAGTTGTATTAGTAGGAAATATAATTTATTATAGGTAATATGTACTCAACTCGAATATATAATAAATAGATAACATAATATATGGCTTTGACAAGTACTAATAGTGGTATCAATGGAACTGAAGCCAAATTATAGATTATATATTTTATTCTTTCTGATATTTGAATTCTTTTTTTTTTTCTTCAGATTCTTTCGTGGGAACTCTGGACCTAGAATTGAGAATCCGCAGAATTTGTACGTCGATATTAGGTTGAGCATAACAAATAACCAATTTTAATCGGTAACTATTTGTAATGCTAATTTAATTCATACCATTGACTACTGATAGTTTATACAAATGATAATTTTTTTCTTCCAAATCTATTTGCAGTTCACCTCTTTGGGGAATGAAGTATATACTGGATTTTTATATTGAATGAGTAGCTCCTGGATAGTTTCATGAATTGCCGCTGATGTATATTTGTCGATATTTTATATGTAATGATAGCTTATTCGAGTGTTCATAGTATTCCAATATATTATTTATTGATATTGTTGTTTTTGCCACTTTTCATGTTTTCAAATAACAAAAATATGATGAAAGCTGTTACCGGTCAATTGATGTTGTTGCAAGATTTTGGAAAAACAGGTGAATTAATAAAGTTGAGGGAGTCTTTTTGAAATAACCTAAAGTGAGAAACACCGATGTTCTTTTAGTTTGTTGAAAACCTCATTATGTTGCTGAAAAGTGGCATCATCATAAGGTTGCCCAAAAGTTGCCAAAACGTGGAAAATAAGAAACTTCATTAATTTTATGGCAATTTCCAAAAATGCGACGACAAAAAATTAATTTGCTTATTTTTATATCCAAAGATATTTCACGAAGTTGCATATGTTTCTCTAGATCTATCAATTCTAGCTCGATTATCGTCATTTTGACAACATGATGTTATTTATATCACTGTTTAATACTACCACACTCAACCCTGGACGAATTGGCTAACAATTGGTGTAGTTAATGGTCAATTCTTACTTTTGAAAAGTCAAAGTATCTTTTTTTATCGGGAATTATGGTTTTCCTAAATAACTCAGTAATTACAATATCCAGACCGCTAAAAATGTATTCATTAGAATATTCATATACATATTGACACATATATACTATTATTATATTCATTTTCTAACTTTTAGTATATCTGGTATTTCCAAAGGGGTTGATCAGCAATTCAATTGGTTTATTTCCGTAATTTGCAAATCGGTTCACGCACGAAAAAATACCAAAAATGACTTGAAACTCTTTTCCCCATACAAGATTCAACTGAAGGTATATTTTCAGTTGTACTAGTATGATATCATCAATTTATTGTCACTTAAATCTATTGTGACGGTCATCAAAGGTGAATATATTCTTCTAGTAGAGTTTACGTATCCCTAAAACTATTAATAGTGTTAAACTTGTACATTTGTATCATTATAGCATTTTTATAATTTATTTCAATATTTTTTGAATTTTGCAATTTTTTTGCGGTAATTATCGACTAAAATTAAAAAATTATCGACCCGTTTTCGTCGAGAGATAAATTTCCAAGGAACCTCCCTTGAGATTTTCACCATTGAGACCCCATTTCTGCAAATCACTAGATAAGAAGAGGAAAACTGATTCAATTGGTGATATAACAGCATAATACTATTACTAATGCTGTACAGGATTAATCACATATAGAATCCAATCGTACTTGTTATTGTAGTATGTTTGTTACTATTAATTCTATCTAAACCATACATTTTTAGTATAAACACTTTTTGCGCGCTAGTATCAAAAATATTTACCGCCTTACTATGAACTTTTCTTTGCTAATAGTGCGAATAATTTTGACACATTGATCTGAAAATTATACTCACACTAGTGCAAGATAAAACTGCAACGACTGTACTGTCGTGTCTCATGCAAAATGGGAGCCACGTCTACATACGTACGGAAAAAGCAATTAAGAAAAAAACAAAAAAAAAAACAAGAGAAAACCGTTTCACGAGATTTCTCGAGGTGATAGATAAAGTATAATTACAAGAATCCAAACAAGTCAATAGCAAACAAGATCTTTTGCTTAGATAATTTAGAATGTCATGTCCACATAAATGTAGTAATCCTGCTTGTGAACTACGAGGTAATATAAATATTGATCCAGATGTACTAGGAGATAAGTTTCTTCAATTAGTAGGACTTAAACATAAGATGGATAATGCAGAAAATTTTCAAGACCTACTAAAATATTCAAATGAAATATCTAAACTTCAATCAAGTATGAGTGTTGAAGAAAGAATAGGAATTTATGCATTAAGATATTTTATGGATGAAATGTATGGAGATTCAGAAGGTGATGATGATGAAGATGATGATGAGGATTTTCCTGATGAAGAAGATGGTTATGAATATGAATGGGCATATGTTGGTGGAGGAGATGATGAAGAGAAAGTTGAAGAAGAATCAGCGTTTGGACTTGTTCAGAGACTTTTACTCGGTAGACAATAATAAACCCATGGAGGAAGAGGAAGTGATTAACTTAGGTGTTGTTGTTTGACTACAGATTGTGAGTTGCATTTTTTTTTTTTTATTATTATTATTATTATTATTATTATTATTATTATTATTATTAATCGTTACATAAATCGTCATTTCAAAGTTGTAATTTAATATTACTATTATTTACCAGTGACTTTTGCCAATTCTTTCTTGTAATTAAATGTTCTTTTTTTAAATTGTGACAAAAAAGGGTCGTTCAAAAATTTCAGTTTAAGTGATTGAGTATGATAATGTTTAGCTTCAAGAACTTGTTTTAATGCACATATTTTAATGACTTTAGATACATCTCTTCCTGTGCCAACTTTGAGCCGTGCATTAAATGTACATTTTGCACATCGTTTATAACCTTTCAAGATTTCCGGTTCGTCTCGAATTATACCATGACATCGAGAGCATTCTTTTTCAATTTTATTATTAGTTGTCTCATAAGTAGGTTCAATCTTGAGTGGAGTATGAACGCATTTCGTTGTGCTGGTGGTGTTATCAACCCTTGGTGTGGATTCTGGTCTATCATCACATTCATCTGGAGTAACCAATACTATATCTGATATATGAACTCTAAACTGTGGACTATGGTTGAAATTAAGGTCTTCTGTAGTAATTTTTCTTTGTCCAAATTGTGATATATTTTCATGCTCATCTTCTTCATTATCCAGTACATTCAGTCGTAGTCCATTTCTATATTTTGCAATTTCTGAATCAAAATTAAATTTCTTATTTTTAAATTGTCTTAAAAATGAATCTTGTTGATATACTCTTTGAATAATATCTTCATCTTGTGGAAGTAATTCTTTAAATTGTTTCAATGCATATAATTTAACTGGTTCGGCAAGTGGTACCGATACGTTTGTTCGTATTCGTCGTTTCATTATACAACGAGGACATTGTCTATATTGTAAACATTCAACAGGTTCATCCAGTAGTCTATATCGTTTGCAATAACTGCATTGATTTGAAGTTTTATGTACTTTATTTTGATTGGAAGATTTTTTCTTTGGGGCTTTGTAATTATTATTATTATTATTATGAGTGGTAGTAGTAGTAGTAGTAGTCGTCAGCATTTTATTTTCCCGTACTGTTTCATTAAATGATAAAACCTCTGTAGGAGGATCTTTAGTGATTCTATCTATTTCTCCAAGATAATTTGCCAGGGATAATTGTCCACCAAATCGTGATAATTGTTTATCTTCTAATAATATACTTTTAATAAATTTGAAATCAGTATGTGAGGAATCAACTTGTTTTAAACAATAAAGTTTAGTGATTATATTGAATTTCTTGGATAACATTCTAGTTTGTTTAAGACCTTTATGTTTATAAAGATTCCAATATCTTGTAATACGACAAGCTGGACATAGGATTCGAATTCTATCTTCAACCGGCTCATCTTCTAATCGTCTTTGTTGGCAGCCAATGCAATCCTTCAACATAATGAGCAAACCTTTCAGTCAAGTAAGTAATTAAGTGAGTAAGGAAGAAGACAAGTTGGTGTTGGTGATCTCTTGGTAGTTAACTTATATGTCGCTGTGTGTGTATGAGTATATGTATATATGTAATTCCAATTGTTCAATGGTTTATAATTATAAAAATCAAGATTAAGAGAGTTCCACACGATAGTGCCCTGATTGTAATTTTCTTCTCTTTTTTTGAATTTTTAAAAATTGTCTCCCCTGGTTTTTTTTTATTTTTGTAGTTTACCTGGGCGATTATGTAAGCAGCACCTCCACCGGAGAAATGAAACGCGAATTCTTCAACACACGCGTCTATTCAATCTTATTTTTATTTATACAAGGCTATTTATATTGGTATTGAATTTGTTGATTTTCTTTTCAATATGATTCAATTTTGTACTGATACTAATAAGTATTGGATCATCGGTGGAAACTTCAAATTTCTTATTAACCATGACTACTGATCCATCATAAGTTATAGCTCGACTAATATAATCCATGACTTTTGGTTTATCACGTAGCAGCAAATGATTTACTATATTAGATAAGAATCCTGTATTATTAGATGTCTTTTCTTGTACTTTCTTTTCAATTTCTGAAACTGTTAACGGGTGGATTTGTTGTTGTTGTTGTTGTTGATCTTGCGATGTCAGTTGAATGGAAGGCGGAGCTGGTGAACTTCTTATGGATGTTGTTTGTATAGTATGTATTGAAGGAGTATTCGATGGTAATTTCATGTCATCTCTTAATTTATCAACAAATGATTTACCAGTACTATCAATTTCAGACCATGGTTTTTCTGTAACTTTATGAAGACATTTAATATCAAGACTTATTTGATTATCACAAGTATAAAAATCCACCGTTATATGATCAGATAATTCCGGTTCAAAATCTTTAGTGTTTGTAACTTTAAGTGGGAAAACCAAATTTGGATCAGTAGGTATTTGTAAATTAATTTTAGCATCATGAATATGATGTAATAATATTTCAAAATTTTCAATTAATTTATTATGATCATGTACACCATCTTTAAATTCTTTATCAATTGATTGCAAATCTTGTAATAAATTTATTGAATCATTAATTGAATTCAAACAATTGACTATTTGTTCTAATATAATAGGAGTTTTCAATTGTAACTTATGAACATATTTATTGAAGAATGCATTTTTAATTGTTAGATTTAAATCAGTTACATATGGACCATCTCTAATGACTATCCCATTAAGTGAATCTGACTTATTATTTAAAGAAATAGGCAATTTCAACAGTGGTCCCTTTTCAATGCATTCTTTTGGATTGGGTGCTTGTGGGGAATTATAAAGTAATAAATTCTTACAAATTTGTAGTGTTTCAATTAATTGAGATAAATCTGGTATGATTATGGATGTAATATACCAATGTAATTCAGCATCATTTGTTTTAACTTGTAATGATTTAATTGTATCGTATAACAATATGTTGGTTGTCATTTTGGTTTGTCCTGGTATAACCTGCTGCTGCTGTTGCTGTTGTCGACTATGTAATGGGTTTTGTTCTGTTGCTTTTCCTGCTCTCCAAATTCAAATTCAAAAATTAAACACCGAGTCGTGTCTCGGTGATAACATGTCACGTGGTAATTACCAAAAGTACACGACTGTAAAAAATTTTTTTTCTTTCGTTCTCCTTCGCCGTTATAAATTGTTGAATTGGCTAGTTCCTTCATATTAATCATCAATCCTTCATCCAACACAATTTGAGTGAAAATAATTACTATTTGCAGGATTATTGTTTACAAAACAAAAAAATTCAAAATTTACAAAAAAAGGCCCAATACTGATAGTTCAAAAAGATAGAGAGTAAGAATTCATTATCATGTCGTCAACATCTTCTAATAAACGTGAATTGTCACTTCCCACCTCGTCAACAAATATTAAACTTGAAAAACAATCAAAACAAGATCCACATGACGTTTATGACCCTCAAGTGGCCAATTATTTATCTGGAACAACAAATAATGAATCCAATAATCAATATGGAAGTGCAGCTCTTCAGCAACATGATAGTGTGGGTTATTCAGCAAGTGCTGCTGCTGCTGCCGCTGCTGCTGAATTACAACATCGAGCAGAATTACAAAGAAGACAGCAACAATTGCAACAACAAGAATTACAACATCAACAAGAACAATTGCAGCAATACAGACAAGGTCATGTTCCAGCTCAAGTACAACAAAGAGAGCAACAACTTCAACAACAAGCGCAACAAGCTCAACAACAAGCGCAACAACAAGCTCAACAACAACAACAACAGCAACAGCAGCAACAACAACAATTTCAACAGTTTCAACGTCAACTGATAAACCGTCATTTGGCTCAACAACAACTTCAACAGCAGCAAGTACATCAGCAACAGCAATTAGTACAACAGCAGCAGCAACAACAACAACAACAACGTCATCAACAACAACAGCAACAACAACAACAAATAAGAGAAGGTGATGACTTTAACAATAGTGAAAATCTTCATTCAAGATATATTGAAAATGAAATTATTAAAACATTTAATAGTAAAAGTGATTTAGTTCAATTTGTTAGAAAAGAATTAACAGTTAGTGAAAGAAGTAAAATTGTTATTAATTCATCAAAACCTAAAGCAATTTATTTTCAATGTGAAAGATCAGGATCATTTAGAACTACAGTTAAAGATCCAGAAAAGAGACAAAGAGTAGCATATACTAAAAGAAATAAATGTGGATATAGATTAGTTGCAAATTTATATTCTAATGAAAAGGATACTAAAAGAAAAGGAAGTAAAACAGATGAAGTTGATATTAATGATCCATCTGGTTCAGAAACACAAATTATGTGGGTATTAAGAATGATTAATCCTCAACATAATCATCCACCTGATCCAATGAATAAAAAAAGAAGACAAAAAATTTCAAGAACATTGGTTGAAACTCCAAAAAATAAGATTTCTCGAACTCAAGATGATGAAGTTCATCATCCTCATCATCATCATCATCATCATGAACAATTACAAATTCATGCTGGAGCAGGTTATGGAGACTTAACTTCACATGAACATTATCAACAACAACAACAAACTCAAGGAACAACACATCGAGTAGATGATGATGAAGAAGAAGATGAAGATGAAGGTCCACCACTTGATCAACCTGATGCAGCAGTTATTGCAGCAATTGAAGCTAGTACAGGAGTTGGATCTCATGAATCATCAAATGTAGCTGCGGCGGCAGCAGCAGCAGTAGCAGCAGCAGCAGCTTTACAAGGTACAAATAATGGTAATGAACCAATTGATGCAAATGTTGATCCAAGTGTACAAGCACATGATCATGCCCATGGATTAAGAGGTAGATTTCTATAATCATTGTAGTTTTTTTTTTTGTTTGTTTGTTTGTTAATAAGAGATTTATGTATCATTATGTAGTTTTTAGTATTTTAATTGTATTATGTGTTTATATATTAATTTTAATTTTTATTATTTTCTATTTAATAATTAGATATCTATTAATCAGTATGATGTTTAACTCTTTCTATTTTTTCATAATCAAATAAAGCTTTTCTTAAAGGACGAGTTAATTTGAATTCTTTTTTATAAGTATTATATTTTTCTAAATCTAAAGGTTTATCTAAACCATCATCATCAAATAATACCGATTTTTGGAAATTATGGAAATTAGTTAAAGATTTTGTTAAATAATATTCTTGAAGGATTTCTTGATTTGAATCTAATAATTCCAATAATTTATCATAAGATTCAAATTGTTCTAATATGAATTCATTAGTTAATTTTTCAGCACCTTCTGGTTTAGTTATTAAAGGTTCTAAATTTGATTTATGAACCCATAAGTTCAATTTTTTGATGAATAACCAACCACTAAATTCAAATGATGATAAACCTTTTGAATATTCAAATTTTAATCTATTTGTAATTTCATGAGGTACTAATACTGGAATACCGGTTAACATGGAAAATTTCAAAGGACCAATTTGATCTAAATTATAGAAATGTTTTCTTCTATCATTGAAAATTAATTTATCTTGACCTAAATCAACCAATTCTTTTTTATCTTCATATTCTTTTGGAGGTTTGACATTAGAATTACTTAAAGCAGTAATATCGATATAAATACCAGAATCAACATCAATAAATCTTGCATCAATATGATTTTCTTTAGCAGAAACTCCACGATTATGCATATAACTATTAACTTCAATTAAATATTTTCCATAACCTTCACTTGGATTTTCAACAACTAAAGTTTGATTATAATTTTGAGCTAAATTAATTAATTCATCAATTGGCATTTGAATATCAATATCATTATCATATGGAAACATTAAACCATTCCAATACCAACTTAATAAAGGACCATGCATAATCCATGTAATAATACCTTTTTCAATAGAAAATCTTTGCCAATTTCTTAATAATCTATCTAAAATAATATTAGTTCTATGGGTCATTTCTTGTTGATTCCAACCAGGTTTTTCATAATTTAAAGCCCCATTGAAATATCTCCAATCATAATGCCATCCCCATTCTCTTTCTTTATTATGAGGATCACTTGGATTAATAGTAGCCATTTTAAAATATCTAATTTCATTGGAATCATCATATTTAGAACATTCTTTAAGACCTTCAAGATACATTTTTTGATGAGGATTTAAAGAATTTTTATCAATTTTTTGTAAATCATCAATTTGAGATTGAATAGTACCAGGATATTTGAATTTATCTTCACTTAAAGCAATAATTGATCTTTGTCTCATAGCTAATGAGTTATTATAACCAAAATCTTTTGAAGACAAATATTGTGGGATGACTTGATCATTCAAATCTTTCCAAATTGAGACATGATCCAATTCCATAATTTCAGGAATATCAGAAGTTTTTGATGATGATGATGATGTGGAATAACCTTGAGATTCAACAAATCTATCAACCATTTTACTACTAGCTAATCTTTTATTTGAATCGACATTAAATTCATAAGTACCACCAGTAGTTTCATCATCACTTAAAATGATAACTTTTAAAGGATTTAATAAATGGGTCATGGCATAACTTTTAGCTTGTAATACTCTATAATCATTTGAACAATAATGATCGTATTGTTCATGTTCATGAATGATAAAACCAGGGAATTGAGATTTTGATTTAAAACCAGCATTAAACAATTCTTCCCATTTTTCATTTAAAACATCTTCATTATTTTTACAAAAATAAGAAACATCGGGATTTCTATGAGAATCTTTTGAAATATCTTGACAATTAATTCTTTGATCAATTGGTTTTGAAAGTTGATTATTTAAAACGGTTAAATCCATCCAATCGACCCAATTAAAAGGTAAACTAATGGCTGGAACTTCATTTGAATTAATTTTATTACCAACAAATACATTTTTATTATTTTTATTGGATTGACTCAATTCTTTATATTTTAATTTCAATTCATTTAAATAAATTGATAAAGTGAATCTTGGATCGTAGAATAATTCATTTTTATTAATCCAACTAGTTGAATCTTCAAATTTTTTCATGAATTTTTTAATTTCAATTGAAGTTTTAGGTTGAGTTAATTTTGAATTAACCATGAAATATTTATTTGGTTCAGATCTAATTTGTTCAAATTTTGAATTCAATTGTTTATTGAACTGGATTTCTTCAGTTGATTTTTCATTATTAAAATAATCGGGTATAATGATTTGTGATTCAATGACAATATTTGCTGCTGTTGATGTTGTAGTGGTTGATGATAATGATGGCGACTGTTGTTGTTTGGATTGTGATGATGATGATGATGATGATGATGATGATGAAGATTCTTTTGAATCAAATAGGAACTTGTTTATTGATGAGGTATTGATATTCTTGGTATTTGTGCTGAGTAAAGTGAAATAAACAATGTTGAAGAAAGCAATGATGATGATGATAAATTTGATTAACTTATATGACCTCTTTGAAGAAGGCACCATATTAAGTAATGACATTATCAATCACTGGATGAACGAACGAACGAATGAATAAATAAATAAATAAATAAATAAGTACAGTATATCAACACGTGAAATGTGAAATGTGAAATGCTAAATCAAACAAGTGTTCAATTAAATTATTAAAAAAATTTTTATAGTGCAGATCTGTTGGTTTATATATACTACAATCAGATAACCGAGTAACAATAACAGGAGTAGGATGAGGAGCAGGAGTAGGATGAGGAGCAGAAGAAAGCCGATGCACAGTTGGTCCACAAAACAACAATCAGTTCGTTAGTCAGTTAATTAGTTCGTGTTAGTTCGTGTTAGTGTAAGTGTAAGTGTTAGTGTTAGTGTTAGTGGTGGAAGTACTGGGAGTGGTAGAAGTGGTGGTGTTTGTAGTGGTGATTGGTGGTGATGCACAAATTTATTTCTATATATAAATTTCTCTAAATTATTCTTCATTTTGTGTAACATGCATACCGGGCAAATAAAAAATTTCTTTTTTTTTTTTTCTTTCTTTCTTTTTTCTTTTTTTGTTAAACGCAGTGTAACATTGTCGGTGAGTTTGTATTTTGGTTGTGGTGGGGATACATTTGGGGGGGAGAGGAGAGAAGAGAAGAGGAGAGGAGATATCACCATTACATTATTCCTGTTGAGATTCATATCTTTAAAAGTTTCTTCTTATTCTTCTCGGTGTTACAATTACTATCATTATCTTCATTTTTTTTTCACTCAATTAGTCCTCCCTGTCGTCTCCTTGCATCTTAGTTGTTGCTGCTGCTGCTGCTGTTGCTGTCCTTAATGTCAAACAAAAATAAAAAAAAACTGGGTCGTGTGTTCACCATGTGGGATTTATTTTATCTCCCTTCTTTTTATTCAATTGTTTATGTACCATGGGTTAAATTGTTATTAAACCATGTTTGTGTTAATTTCATAATCAAGAAAAAAAATAATATTATTGTTATTAGGAAATAGGTCGTGTGCAATTGTGTAATTTTAAAGTTTAATTCTTACAAGTCACACGATAGCTAATTTTAATACTATACTAAAATAGAAAAACCCGAAATGATAGATCTGCACGTAACCAGCTGGAAAACTCATTCATATAATGACATATAAAACACACACACACATATCCATCCATACATAATAAAGACTAAATGTATATATATATATATATATATATTTCATCATTGATGTATAGTTGATACATCATATTAAAATTAAAATTAAACATAAAGATAATAATACATGTTGTTTCATAATTTGTTGAGTTGTATTGTCGTGTATTTTGACTTCTGTTGTTGTTCTTGTTATTGATTATCTGTACATTGTGTGTGTGGTGTTCGTACTTGACATATGAAAATCTGTACAGGCGTGTATATGTGTCACCTTCTATTCTTTTTGGAAGAGGAAGAGAAGGTGAACAATTGCACTTGAAGTTGAAGTCAACCAATCTAAATCCAAATCCAAATCCAAATCCAAATCAAGTCTAAATCTAAATCTAAAACTAACACTAAAACTAAATTACTGATAACAAGCAAAGACAACTGAACAATAGATGTTTGTCCGTTCGTTTGTTCGTCCATTCGTTTGTTCATCCATTCGTTTGTTCGTTTATTATTTATTTTATTCTTTGTTTCTTTCACTTACAGGAAACGTACCTGTGTACAACCAAGTACACGAAATGAATAAAATAAGATAAGTTGTCACAATAAATCTACATATACAAATAGATCGTACATTTGTACTGAACAGAACAGTACATTACAGAAGAAGAAGAATCAACAAATGTGTCGCGTGACTTTTGTTTTTTTTTTTATTTTGCTACTCATTCGGCTTACTAATTCATAGTCACCGTTAAACGCCCCGTTCCAAAAATTTCTTTTGGATTATCGGCAACTGACTTATATGCAGGTATGCATCCCATCTCATCCCATATCAGTAACATCTCAGAATTCAGATTGATTAACAACAATCTCCATGAAATAGATAATGGGATGCACTTCTAAAAGCCATCATTTGATTGCAACTTTAAATGTATATCTTATTTATTGTACCAATTCATATGTGTCGTGTCATGTCATGTCATTTATACACTTTTATTCGTTTTCATCTTTAAACTCATTTCTTCAACATTTGGTCTGATTTCTAATGTAAACCCAACAATCTTTGATGGATAGGAGAACACGTATTCATTTGTATATTCCTACTGTGATTAAAAGAAAAAAATATAACTCTTTTAACAGCAAGCAAAAGCTGGAAATTTCATCTACAGTCTTATCATTTACTGTCACGCATACATCTTACATTAGTCTCGATTATTGTACGATTATAATCTCACCAGTTTGCACTAGAATATATTCTTTGTGCTATACAAGGAAAAACTGAATCTAATTAATTTCTTTCTCCGTTTCATGTTTTTCCATTTCAACATCATGTCAGATGTTCTTGGTTTAGTTTAGAGTTCGTAGTTGTCTTTAACCTCGTCTATACCGGTACCAAATTATGTCAATCCCTCTACTTACAATTAACCCATATTATTTCTTCCTCTTCTGGTAACCTCTCATTTAAACTTATTTAGTTTTCTCATGTCGTATCTCTAACCATTCTATGTTTCACTCCCCCACAATTCACGTAGAAAATACTGCTCATCTCGTCAAATGAGCTTCAGATAAATAACGTACCAGATCATTAGTATAAACTTATTTGTTGCATCATTAGTTGGATAATCCTTTCAATCGATTTATTCCTACCAATATCGTCTAGGATCAGTATACTTAGATCAAATAGACATCCCACTATCAATTAAGATATATCAATACAAAATGGAACAAGACAAGCATTATTCCAACAGCTAGTCCTAGTTGAATCCAACCTGACGATGCATACATGTTTCAACTTACATCTCCACTAACCTCTTTATTCTTGTAATTACATTCAATTCCACTTATAGTCAACACCCAGCCATGTTTACATAGAGGGACGTATCATTTATTGAATCTATCCTTTCTTAGTATGATCAACTCCCCCATACTCATCGCAAACCAATCGCAACTATTAACAGAAAAAAAAAATGCGTGCGAAAAGGGAGAAAAAAAAAAAAGAGAAAATAATGGAAAAAAAAAAACCATAATCTCATCTCAAAATTGATTTGGATTTTTTCTTTTATTTGTATCAAGATATATTTATCATTGAACATTATTATTATTATTTCCATTAATTCAATCACATACTATATATAATGCCTAGATCAAAACGTTCCAAGCTTGTTACTTTAGCTCAAACCGATAAAAAAGGTAAAGAAAATAAAACTCGTTTATTTGATGATGTTAGATCTGCTTTAGATACTTATAAATACGTTTGGGTTTTACAATTTGATGATATTAGAACTCCTGTATTACAAGATATTAGAAATGATTGGAATGAATCAAAATTAATTTTGGGTAAAAGAAAAGTATTACAAAAAGCTTTAGGTGAATCAATTGAAGAAGAATATAAAGATAATTTAAATCAATTAACTAAAATATTAGAAGGTTTACCTGGTTTATTATTTACTAATGAAGATCCTGAAACTGTTGATGCTTATTTTAAAGCTTATTCTAAACAAGATTATTCAAGAGCTAAATCAAAGGCTCCAATAGATTTCATCATACCTCAAGGTATTGTTTATTCAAGAGGTGGTCAAATCCCAATAGAAGAAGATGTTCCAATGTCTCATTCTTTAGAAGAAACTTTAAGAAATAAATTAAGAGTTCCAACTAAAATTAAAGCTGGTAAAATCGTTCTTGATGAACCTTATGTTGTTTGTAATGAAGGTGAAGTTTTAGATGTTAGACAAGCTATGTTATTAAAACAATTTGGTGTTGCTGCTAGTGAATTCAAAGTCCCAGTACTTGGTTATTATCATGATGGTGAAGTACATAAATATTAATAACTACTATCATTAATAATATTAATATTAATAAAAAATAATAATAATACACGCATAAATATATATATATATATATATTACATATCGATCACTACTTACCAAGTATCTTCAACTTCTTCAGGTTTAGAAATTTGAACAAAAAACAAATATGCCTGTGATTTACCAACATTTCTCAATGAATATTCATTACCTTCAGGTATTTGTAATTTACATCCTTTCTTGACAATAAATTCATCTTGGTTTAATGTAACTTTTACCATCCCACTAATAACATTAAACATATATGTGCTTCCAGTAACGGTAACAGGTGGTTTAAACCCATCAATTGGTAATTCCAACATCCCACCAGCACAAAAATCTCGATCTTCATCAAATAAAGTTGCAACTTTATAATTATCTTCTGATTGTTGTTTAAAATTACCTCCACCTTGATTGTATGCAATTTTTCGTTTCTTCAATACTCCATTATCTTTTACTGTCAATTGTAAACAATCTTCATCTTTCATCCATTCAGTTCCAGATAAAATTTCTTCTTCATCAGATAGTTCTTGATCATCCATATCGCTAGTTGGTGTTTGTGGTCTCTTTATTTGCTTCTTTTTACTCTTGGTAGTACGTTTCTTTGTTGTTGTTGTTGTTGTTTGAATATTTGTAGCAACATTATTGTCAGGTATATGTACAACTTCTTTAATCAGTTGTAATGGAATATTATGAATATCTCTTGCTAATATAGTATCAAAATCTTCATCACTATTGAAATCTTGAGTATAAATTATTCTTTCATTTCTCCAGAATGCCAATGGTTTTATTCGTGTTCTTTTAGATCTTCTTAATCCAGTCGTGTTGTTATCCGGTGGTGGTGAAGGTAAATTTGATTCATTTATAACTCGATTTCTACTTTTTGCCATTCCCGGCACTTCCGAACTATATTCTTGAAATGATTCATCTTTTTCATCGTCTATGTTATCATCCTCAAGTTCTGTTGGTGATTCATTATATTCAGTAATACTACTACTTGTAATATCATCTGTAAATGATGACGGTAGTCTTTTAGTTTTACCCAATGCCATTTTCTTAGTAAATGAAGATGATCCTTTTTTCAGTTTTGATTTAGTTTCTGATCTGATATTTTTCTTCTTTGTCATCTTTTCTTCCTCTTCTTCTTCTTGTAATGAATCTTCTGGAGTATCATTCATATTAAAATCAGGAACATTCACGTCTTCTTCTTCTTGTTGTTGTTGTTCATCATCATATACACTATAGTTGTTTGTCCTCTCATTTTCATCAGGAATATCATCGTCAAATTGATTATAATCAAAATCTTGTTCAGCCAATGGAGATCTCAATGGAGATTGTTTATTAATAGCTGGTGATTTCTTATTTGAAATAGTTGAAGTTAAATTAAATGTTTCATCTTCATCTTCATCATTAAAATTAATCTTTCTAGCAATATTATCAAATGGTTGCTCTTTAATAGGTTCAACACGTGTTTTCAACTGTGATAATTTCTGTCCTGATTGTTTTTGCTTTTGTTGTTCTTGACTTGTAGTCGATTCATCATTAAAGAAATCATCCACATCTTCTAATCCATATCGATCTATTTTGATATTATCTTTTGGTACAAGTCCTAGCTTTCTGGATCTCCCACCAAGATTTGCCAAATACATATTTCTCTTGAATAATATCACTCCGTGGACTTTCTTCAAACAACCTTGGTTGTAAACGTGTTTGCAAAACGTGAGTCAGAGAGACCGAATGTGTGTGGTGGGAGATAATACCGTCACGTTTTTTTTTTTTTTTTTTTGTCCTGTGGGTTTGGGGGGGTTGCCATTTTGGTTGTTTTGATTTTCATGAGAGAAATTTGCTTCCCGTTGTTTTCCTTTTTCCTTTGTGGACGTGTGTGGCTCAAAACGCGAAAAAAAACCACCTTTTCTTTCTTTGTATAAATAATAGAACAAAACGAAGATTGGTTTTGGCGTTTGTGTCCAATATCATAAATGATGATGATGATGATGATTGTACTACATACATTGTATACTAAAGTACTAAGCTAAACCTGTTCTTATAGGTTTTTCATTTATAGAGAAAGTTGATACCCAATGACCAAACCATCATTATAACTTATATACAAGTGATAACAAGGAATATCAACTGTTCTTTTCCTCACACTCAACCCAATGATGGTTCTATATCCATGATAACCTAAAGATAAGCTCATTGCATTTGGAAATATATACTCTTGTCTCATGCCGTAGATTCCTTTATAAGAACATAGTCTCATAACTGTCACTAATCCTTGTTGAGTCACCGCAATAAAGCACAGCAATTCTGGTATAAGATGAGTAATAGACATTCTGTTGGTAAACTTACTTTCATCATTGAATGGTATAGGCAAATCAAATACTTTAGGAGTTGAGCAGTTACAAAATAAAGATGGAAATCTAAACAAAGCAAGCTTTCTGGCCGTTGAAACCAATAATAACTCATTAGTTGACCCATTAATAAACTCCTTGTGTACTCTCCTATATTCATCATCAACGTTGGTTAATTTTGCATTTCGATAACTCTCTTCACTTGCTTGTTCAAAACTAACAGTCTTGCTTTGAAAATATTGAAAAATACCACTAGGCTTACCTAAAATTCTGGATTCTTTTTCTATTCTCTTCAATTCATTCGTTTCGTCTATTTTGCAGTCACCAAACACATCTTTAATTGATCCAACTGGGAGAAACCATCTCGAATCCAATGGCTTGATTGTCCAGCAATCCTCATTCAAGACAATTCTTGAAATACCTAATGGCTCCTCAAAATTAAGTCGACCAAACTTTTTCAGTTTAAGAATTGATAACTCATTTGGTTCAATACCATTTCGATTTTCCAATCGCTCCATTGTGCTATCAACGTAATAATACAATTCCTTCTTGAAATATTCAAAATCCTCTTTATTAAGCGGTCCTTCGTTAAAGGAAAATTTAAACTCAAATATAATTATTTCCCCCGATATTGACACGCATGAAACTTCAACGACATGTTCTCCATCACATTCCTTACATGAAACTATAGAAACTTCTGGTATATTGTGGAGAATTTGATGCGATTTGACATGATAAAATCTTTCGTCAACAGAATGATAGTACAATAGAACAACACTTTGAGAATTATCTGATGCAACAATGATATTATGACCATTATAAGTTTTAAAATCTAATCCCCATAAAGATGCCTCCATTTTAATTTGAAAATCAGGTTTAATAACAGTGGCAGATGTGTTGGTGGCAGATGCACTTGCAATAGCACTATCATGATCATTATCATGCTTATGCTGCTTTTCAAACTCACTAATCAATGCCATTATTGTTTTACTATACCACATTAGTAATGTTCCATCATCGGTACAAGCCGCCAATGTTTGTTCACCATTGAACATCCCCGATTTGATGAAATTTATCGTGTGTGGAAAATACGGCCATGTTGAAATCAACCGATCAGTACTAGAAGTAAATGGCGGACTAGTGTCAAGTCTCAACAATTGTGTAGATGGAAGATGTGTCATTTTATCAAAAGTCAAGAATACTAATTCTGAATTTAATGCCAACACTAAAAAATCATTAACCCCATCCGAAATAACTGTAGATAAATTGTTCTTGAACTTTCTAAAATCATCAGCAAATATTTTCTTAATACCAAAATGTTTCAATTTTAAAGAATTTGAAAATTTCTCTGATGGTGATTTATAAAGAATCCGTGAAAAATCCGAATTATCAATTGTACAATACTCTTCATCATTAAATTCAGTTGATTTAACTTTGAACTCAAACTTGTCTGATTCATTAATAGTGAAATCTGCAGAAGATGATTCTGATGACACAGAAGAATTCGACATCCCAGATACATACTCAAATGACTTATCTAGTTCTTCATCACTGGTAATTACCACATTCCGACCTCCAAAACTTTCTCGTCTCGTGTTATAAAAATCATCAAAGCTTTCTTCAACATCATTACTAATCTGAATAATACCCAAAGGTTCATCTTCAATCACTTCTTCATTATCTGAACCTGATAATTGAACTTCATTTTCGTTTCTTATATTACTTACGATTGTATTGATTCGGATATTTCCTTCACTGGTGGCCCTACTTCGAATTGAGCTAGACAGTAGTCTGTGTTTTCGTCTGACTCGTTGTATTCCCCTCGAATCCAAAAATTGTTGAAAGGGGCTATCCATTGGTACGTGTGTGTTTGCTATACGGGTATTTCGGTGGTAAATGATAAGAATTCACCGAGAGAAAATGAATAATAGTGTAATAATAATTATATATACAAAAAAAAAAATCCCAAAAGATAAGGAGAAAAAAAAAATTTTTTGACATGATCTTTTTCTCCTCAAAATAGGAATGATCTTTGTCACGTGATTTGTTTTTTACATTATTAGAATACCAGCTCTTGTAAATCAAATAAATATTGCAACTAGTTACACTAGAGTAAATGAAAGTTGGCAATTTTGAGTGATAATAACACTCAACCTCATAAATGGAGTAAACACTGTACAAAATCTTGATGGAACAGTTAGCTCCGAGATTTTAAGCACTGAGATGAGTGTTTCTCTATGGACCATCACTACTCATGATGTTTGCTTAGGATGCTTTAATAGTTAATAACTTTAGGATTGGTTATTTCTTTGTAAAACTTGTTTCCCTTGTATCCAGAGTAAATATGGAATGAAAAATGTGATGTTAAACATGTCTAAATTTTATGTCATTTGGTGATACTATTGACCAAGATTTTAATGTAGGATTTAAATAAATTGATTAGTAGAGGGAATATCATATATCGTAAGCTGTTTGGTATACTTGGATCATCAAATCATGTCATTCAACCGACAACCACACATAGAAAGAGCAAGAAATAGAACGGTTTGAACGTATTCCTTAAGAAGAATTTCTTAACAAACAGTTTATATTGTCAATGGTTGCATCAATGGTACTACTTTAGTATCATAATGTCCATTTTATTTTCCTATTCATGTTATTCACCCTATGTTCTCAGCAAAACCGAATAGGTGGTTTCATTATGAATGCTATTCTCATCCAAATAGCAACGGAGGATTCTCAGATATAATTATTGAATGCAACAATAATCTCAGGTTCAATTTTATTGATTACCTAGGTAATAATTTTGAGAATTAGGACGTATTATATCATTGTATTCCATTCATTAAGATATTACGATTGGTGATTGCACTACCAGTGCCAAAACTCACTCCCAGCGGCATCGCGTCGCTCGATTTCTGCACGATGTCGCAATTTAAAGGGGCGAGAATAAAATTATCAAGATCTTTAAAATTTTTCATCTCCACAGTTTGTTTTGTTTTGTTTTTATTCCCACAACAACAACAACAGCAATCAATCTATCCATCTATCTATTTTAAGAGAAAATGGTACATGCAGACTATTCAAACCTTGAATCTGGTGAACTATCAAAACAAGAGACATTACAACATATTCTTGATTCTTATGAAGCGTTGAAAACACCAAGCTGGGTCGCTAATTTGTCAAACTGTGCATCATTGTTGTGGTATGGATATAAATCATTAAATATTGATGTCAATTGGACAGGATTTTACTTAACAAATAAACCAGATGATGAACTAATTTTGGGACCATTCCAGGGTAAAGTCGCCTGTCAAATTATCAAATTTGGTAAAGGTGTTTGTGGAACAGCTGCTAGTACTCAAGAAACTCAGTTAGTTCCAAACGTTGAAGAATTTCCCGGTCATATTGCCTGTGATGGCGAAACAAAGAGTGAAATTGTGGTACCTATAGTTAAAGATGGTAAAACAAAGGGGGTTATTGATTTGGACTGTTTGGACTTGAACGGGTTCGATGAAGTTGACAAAGAATATTTAGAAAAGTTGGCAAATTTGATTAGTCAATGCTTACCCTAAGTGGAGATATGTTCTTGATGAAAGTGACATATGGTTTTGAGAAATTGCACAAATAATTTGTCCATTAAATCTGGTAAATTATCCACGTCTAAAGTAGGAAACTATTCATCTAGATATAAAATGTTATTATTAAACAAGCGGTAACAATCAAGTGTCAATACAGATAGTATACCATTGCCTGTATTTCGTGTTACATATGGAGTAATTAATAAAGTACCTGTACTGTTACTTAATAGCAACGTGAATTCCTTGAATATGTAGAATTCATGGGCAGTTTGTCTTGTGATTTTAAAAAGGAGATAGTAGAAGACTGAACATTATATTCAAATGGTATAACGAAATTCTGCAGAATATTACCTCTTGTGACTAGATTATACTTTTGGTTTACTCGAAACTATAGCACTTCACCTGATTACCAATTTTAATATTTGGTTCAACAGCTTGAGTACATTCACTAGAGGAGACATAATACTGTGGTATTGGGTCAATTCAGTGGTGGGTACTGAATGCAATATGACGAAATTCAGACTTGCTACTCTCACTCTCATTTCATGATAGATCAATCCAACTTAGACTATTCTTGCGTTTTATTGGACATCTACAAAACCTGTGAAACCATTTGTGTGTACGCACAATAGCTCCATCGTTTTCAAATTCATTAAGATGGCATAATGGGCCAGAGCTTAATTATCAGTTGGTACGAGCAATTTTCAGATAATTAAATCAACGTAGCTGCAACCTGTACTTCCCTGAGAGTACTATTTGCGCTCCCTTTCAGACAGGGGTCTATTCAACTTCAGAGGGTTCAAATCGTTCTGCGTTCTATCTTGATTACAGACCGGATTTCACTTTCGGTTTGCCCATGAAATCACGTGGTGATTGGTTTTGTGTCATTTCTGACTAAGCTTTTCTTTTGGTATGCCCCATACATTATTTTTTGGTATGCCACCGTATTCTTTGGTATGCTTCTTCGGGGGTTTTATGTTATGCTCGGATGCAGTTATATTGTAATGCTCGGCTAAAGTTATATTGTAATGCTCGGCCGAAATTAGTTTGTTATGCCCGGCTCCATGTTTATTTGATATGCTCGGGTAAAGCTAATTTGATATGCTCGGGTGAGTATATTTTTGGTATGCCTGGTGGTCCCTATTTGTTATGCCTGGTGGTCCCTCTTTGTTATGCTCGGGTGAGTTTATATTGTTATGCTCGGCCGAAACTAATTTGATATGCCTCTTGGAACGTTGTTTGTTATGCCTCTTCCAACGTTTTATGGTATGCCCAGTGAACCCTGTATGTTATGCTTGGCTGGATCATATATGATATGCCCGGTGATTGTATCTAGAGTTTTGTGATTCACCGACCCTGAATGCGTCATCTTGTTGCAAGCTTTCCTAAAGCTCAATCATCAAGGGACCCGAGGCATGACCGGAACTATGTGTCAACGGTCGGAAGTGCTTAGCATGGGGAGGAAGCCAATGTTTGACAGAGGTGTCCACTTGATATCCTGGTAGTTGCTAAATCATTATAAAAGTACCGCTCCTCAATCTGACTGACCAGGCAGTCATATTTGTAGGATAAGATCATGAATTCAAGGTGTCCATTTCCCGTTAATTATCAATGTGTTATCAAGTTATCCACGGCTTCAATTCATGGTTATCTAGGCAATAGATTGACCATAGCCAACATGTAGACTAATAGATAGGATACCAGAACTGAAGTGTGAAATAAAGACAAATATTCCACACATTAAACATGCCATTGGTGTACTTTATTAGCTGTATTTCAAGATCCACAACCTATAATACAAATTGAGTTGTCAGAACCTGTGATAGCAACAGTTGCAGCAACTACACACGCTGTAGCAACGGCTCTGTGATTAGTAGTAGACATAATAATTACCAAATCTATTTCTGTATAAGTTTACATGCAATACCATATGATAAAGCAGACATATATACAGCTATCCACTATGCGATACTAGTATATTGACTGCACTTTTGATAACCCACGTTCTGCTATTCTACCAACACACATGCAACGTACAATGCCAGTGTTTCTTCATACATTATATCAAGCTTTACTTCATTATATTGGTGGCATTGGCACAACCAACGTTCTTCAGAGCATCATACACCAAAAGAGATTACTATTAGTGTCTTCTCATAGTCCTTTCAAGTGATTTGAGTATTGTCACTGTTGGTGTCTATTGGACTATGAAATGTCGTTTGCACCCTTTGTCGCAAGTTGAATGCTGCGTGTCGCATCTATCATGTCGCATCAACCATGTCGCATCAACCATGTCGCTGGCACCTACGACATGTGTATCCATGCGACACATATAACAGGCGACATTTTAAGGTTTATCCGATATAAGACATTTTTGACAGAAAAAAGTTTGACACTCAGGTAATGTCGGAACACACATTTTAGCTACCACGCGACATTGCGGAAAAGGAAAAGTAAAAGTAAAAGCGGAGATATCAGAAAGTCGCACGACTGTCGCCCTTTTTCCGTGTCGCAAAATTCTACAACTAATTGTACGTGTGGAAACTATTGCCAAACACAGCAAAGATATTTGTATAGGCATATGGAGACTGAATAAGACTTAGAATGCAGTTATTCAAATATGAGAGGTATTACGTAGGATACCGGAACACTGCTGACCCGGAAGTGGGAAATTATCGGGTCATATTGTTGGAAAGGGTCTTACATATAGATCACAAAGCCTGGCTTCCTTTTCAAGGTGACGCATATCATTAACGAAGAATAACATAAAAGCGCTCAACTAATGGAATAACAAAAAATGAGTGGAGGCAGCTGCATAACAAAAAGATCTTTGTGTTCTATCATATCAAACTCCTGGCATAGCAAAGTTATTTTTGTTACGCTGATTATTTCGATATGCTAGCTATTTCGATATGCTAGCTACTTCGATATGCTGACTAGTTTGATACGCTGACTAGTTTGTTATGCTGATTATTTGATACGCTGACTAGTTTGATATGTTGATTATTTCGATATGTTGACTAGTTTGATATGCTGATTATTTTGATATGTTGTTTATTTGTTATGATAATTTATTGTTATGCTCTATATTTGTTATGTCATTTGTTTGTTATGCTCTATATTTGTTATGCTGTGTGTTTGTTATGCTCGATATTTGGTATGCTGATTTATTTGATATGGCATTTATTTGATATGGCATTTATTTGATATGGCATTTATTTGTTATGATATATATTTGTTATTCTCTATATATGTTATGCTCGATATTTGTTATGCTTGTTGTTCATTTTTTTTGTTATGCTGCGAAACACTTTGATATGCACTAGTAAATTTATTTGTTATCCAGCTAGTTGATGTGTTTTCTGGTATGCTAGTTCTATTTATGGTATGATCGTATCTCACACTGTTTCTATACTCTATTCCTCACATCATTTCGTGTTATATAAACGTAATTTACAAGTACACTAACTTAAAATTCAAACTGATGGGAAATTTTGATGGTGTTTTGCTGCAAATTTATACAGAAAATGCACAACAAATAGAAAACACATATATCTAGTAATCACAATGTAACATATATCAAAATGAACACGTACACATCCCAAAATACACGTTTTCACCTTGATTTCACGCTGTTTCCAGGCATCTGTGATCCTGTACTGTTAGCAGTAGACAACTCTGTGGCGCTACCAAAAGTCAAATTTGCCACATCGCACGACCACCGCGGAATTTCCTCTAAATGAACCAATTACAGATTAGCACCTGGTAACAGGTGTTGGTGGACAAAAGCAGACACAATGGACGTGTGTGTCTCTATTATGGTGTTGTAAAATGTTGTGTGCTGTCTAGTTGGAGTACTCATATGTGTGTTAGTGTCAATTGCAACACACAAGAACCTCTTAGTGGAGACCAACAATAGCAAATGCCAGCTCAGCAATTACAAGTAGCTATTTATACTGCGTCATTTTCCTTAACCAATCTCTTGCCTGAAATCAAATTCTGGGTACTTTCATGTGGTAGTTTCCTATACTTTGTCGGGTAATTTGCTCCTGTATTTTCGGCTGTTGCAAAAGTTTTTTCTAAGGGTGTGGGATTGAAACACAGACACAGACGCAGGTATCAAACACAAAAAGGGAGGGTGAACTGACCATACATAAGGGAGTATTCTGAACACGTTAATAATGGAATTGAACACGATAGGACAGTTTTCAATGACGTCTGGATGACTTTAATGTTGATTTTTCTTACATTTTCGGGTCGATTTGGGTAGTTTGGAATGGTGATTCTGGTGACTCCTTTTTGTAATCTTGGTGGTGGTTCTAAATAATTCAGAAAAAAATACAGCTGGATCCAATTCATTTCCCGACTTCATTGTAACAATAGTTTGATTGTGTATTGATATCGTTGATTCAAAGTATTGTAGTTATCTAGATGCCATTTGTTTGGGCTATTTTACAGAGTATGATAAATGACTTGATGAAGTTATTTGTAGGTAATAAATAAAAGTTTAAAAGAAAATTCGACTAGTAAGAGCGCCTCTCAGGTTGCAAGTACGGCGAAAAAATATCTCTCAAGCACGAAAATCTGAGGGTAACAACGCCCTACTATTAGTTGCTCCGCTAAAATATATGCGTCTCGCGTTGCAAAAGTGCGACTCAGAAACACAAACAGAACAAAATGAATGACGTTATTTATCTTTATCGGGATGTTCTGGGCAATTTTCGTGCGCATTTTTTTTCAATTTAGTGGACGAATTTCTATCAGTTTCGCTACACTTTCTGCTAAACTTCAGAGCAATTAAACCTCATTTATTAGCATAATATACGCACTAATTTTCTCGCACCTTGAGTACTAATCTGAATGTTTGTACTTATTATCAAACCGGCATTTTAGACAAATATTGACCAGTGATGAATGTCAATCAAGGTGGTAATAATGAACTTCAGTTGAACAGCAGATTGCAATATCGCTGAAATATTCTATGATGATTGGGGTCCTTCAGAAATGATAATGGGGCCCGTAATGGGTCGTAGACAGCATACATTTCTAAATTTCGGAGCAGTATTTAGGTTCTCTCTTAATTAGTTTAATTACTGATCTAGATAGACACCAGTTCTAATGGAAAGAGTTATCGAGTTACAAGTGAATTAGTGTCAATCTCTACTGCTTATCCGACCAAAACTTTACTTCTTATTGCTGTTAGTTTGATCGCAGTTGTAGTACTAGACTTCGACTAGTCAAACAAGCACTACTGACTGAAATGGAGTACCCGTGAAGCATCTCATCAATGTGGGGCCGGCGGTTACTAGGGTATGTAAGCCGCTACTGTCCTTACCGTTTCAAGGATCTAAAGCAGCGGACTCTAGGCAATTAGCAGCCATAGTCGTTACTCTTCCCAACTAACTATCACTCTACAATTATCTATTGTCTTTAAAGTACTCTGCAGTAATAGATTGTCTTAGCTGCTCTACAATTCTTAAACGATATCGCATCTATGGTTCTCTACGTATAATTGAAACCGATTATGATGACACTAGACATAAACTGGTTCTTCAATTGTTTGTGTATTAATATTAATATTCTTGATAGCAATTTGTACTATATCCACTTTTGACATTATCTGATTAAGAATTAACAAAGAGGATGAAGAGGCGATTTCATGTAGAGCAGCATTTAGCAGACGTTTGATTTGTAAGATTTGGCTTGAGTGGACCACAACTTTAATCATCAGGTTAATTTTTTTAACGAGGAATATGCTAATTACGCCAGGATTAATGTCCCAGGAATTATTCTATTTTAGGGAGAACATCGTTTCTTGTAGTAATTGCATTTACTCCATTGACATCTTTGTCAACTAAGGTATTGTGATTTCAAATTGTTGCCTCGGATATTACCAGGTACAAGTATAGCATTTGCTACAGCTTTCAGAGTATGAAGTGAGAAATGTTGACACCGCAGTATCCCCAGCCTGACAAAGTTGGGGGTATTCTGATGTGACCAACACCTTAAAGGGATTTGTAGAAGAACTCCTTGAATAATTATCTTTAGATAACATAAAACAAGATAATACGCATTGGCGACGGATTAGTATACCCAGGAGTCAATAGCGAAGACACCTAAAATAATGTCTAGTACGTACAAATTCACTTATACTATTGTCTCCACTCCAAGGCTACGTTGCTATATAACGGTATCCAAAGTTGCCCTAAACCCATTCAGAATGTAGTTAAAATTGATTCCTATTACCGCATTGACGTTCTAACTTTACTCAGCGTATTGCCATTTCTACTTCAGTTCACTCATGGACTGCGCCTACATTAAGATTTAGTGGTGGCTATATTATCTAGAATGTAATCCCAATTGCTGTATTGACTAGCAGTAATGGGTGGACTGGATTCGACTATCCACCCCCGCATCGAACATAGATTCTCACATCGAAATGTGGTAGTAAAATTCTTATGACGGAGAGAAAAGGTAGCCCAGGCCACTGTGAAATTTTGTGTCCTACGCCCGAAAGCGTCTCTGAGTTTACAGCAAAGCTGATTGAAAATGTAGTAGAAGTTTCCAAACTTTTCAACATCAATAAGTTTTCCATTACTGGAAGAATAATGAAGTTTCCCGTTTTTTGATACATAGTGAGTTGCCACTTTTTGCATCGCAGTGAAGTTACCACTTTCTGGCGATATCATGAAGTTTTCCACCAGAGAATTAACTACAATATATCCTAGAAGAGCAATTACTCGACACAAAGAGGAATGCAACTTATACTTCTGTTGCTGCTAAATAATACAAAACAATATCCAGATTATATCCTTTATCTTTTGAAAAACTAATTGTTCACAAGCACAGACAAGAAATGCATAGATCTACTTCATCTACAATTACCATATCCAGCTAGATTTGCTGTTAAAT